TGTGTGTGTGTGTGTTGACAGGAGTTTGTTTTAGTTGGCTCTCTGAAAAGCCTTCATTTGTTTCTCAAAAGGACCAGTAAATCTTTGATACAGACCCAATTAAGTATTTCTACAAAACAAAACAAGAAAACAAACCAAAAATGCAATGGTGGTAATTTTGTTTTCTCTGAGATGTATTACGCATCGTGGGTATTGCTATGAAACTACATGTATGTACGTTATTCTGGATATAAATAAAAGACGACAGCAACAAAAACAGTAGCTACAGACGATGTCCAGGTAAGCAGAAACAAGAACAAAAGGCACAGAGGGTAAAAGATACAATTGAACAACCAACTTTGCTTTTTTTTTCCTATGAAAATATCTTCATGCTTTATTGACATGGCAATCGATAACAGTCAAATGAAAAAGAGAAGGCTTTCAAATTTAAACATGAAAAAAACGTGAAATAAAGAAAAAAAAATGAAACAAAGCATATGAAACATGAATAAAAATGGATGTGCCAAGAAATGAACAAAAATCAAATAAAATAGAAATTTGTAACGATACAAAGGAAACGCGGATAAATTATCTGTGTCAGGAAAAAGAGAAAATCAAAACAAAAAACAAAAAATAAAAAAATAAAACAAAAAATTAAAAAAAATCATACATGGGTGAAATGTGATCCATGTCAAGAAATTGAGAAAAATTAAAAATAGAGATAAAAAATTCATAAATGTACATGCATTCCAAAATATTTTAAAAAGTAAATGAAATGAAAGAATGTTCAAACTAAAAAAAGGCAGCATAACTTGATCAAAATAAGGAGATATCTAAATGGACAAATGGGGTGTTTTAAACAAATGTTCAGAATACATAGAAGGAATAATTTTAAGATGAAAGAAAGTAAAAAAAATTATAATAAAGAAATAGATAATTGATGGACCTCCAATTCGAGTTCGACCAGATAATATTGCAATTGATGATGATGATGATGATGATGATGATGATGATGATGATGATGATGATGATGATTTTTTAAATATTACAAGTCTCCACCGTTTTTACAAATCTTTTTGCAGTCTACAATGATGATGTTCATGCATGATGGTGAAGATGATAATGATGATAAGCATGACATGAAAATCTAGTTTATCAAGTGTAATTTTGTCAGAACCAAAAGTAGACGTATGCAAGAAATACAGAGAAAAAAAGTCATCGGCCTGTTGGTGCAGCTGTCTAATAATTGTCATTATGTGAAATGTATAACTTTTATGGCGAAGGGGAGTGTGCAAGGGAGTAGTATTACAATTCTAATTGAGAGATAGTTGCAAAAGTTCACCTGATTTCATTTTCTTACAAAGATATACTTCTTTTACGGATATCCAGCCTCAAGGTCAAAAGTGAATAATAAACATACAAATAGTTATAGTTTGAGGGAACTCTTCCAAAACAGAGGGCCGCTTTATTAAGTTTAGATACAATAGCAACAGAATTGTGATTACAGCAATAAAGACCAGACTTTCAGTGGTGGAGACAAGTGGAGCATTTCTATTAAAAGCATCAAATTATGATTCTTACAGAAAAAAATGATACTTTGTCGAGAGTCGGGAGTACTGCTACCAAATGAATGACTTATACCTCAACTGACAGTTTTCAACTTTTGTTTTCGGGCAGTGTTTTTCAATGCATTATTCCTATAGCGTTCTCTGATTTGTGAATGTCCATGACAACTTGCAGCTGACGGAGGGGCAGGAGAAGGGTCTGCAGCGTCTGTCGGGTCACGAGCCTCTGTCTGTTCATTGATGTGGTGCAATTGTTGAATTTCCTCAACTGAGGCTGTCGGGTTACGAGATTCTGGCTGTCCATGGGCGTGGAGCAGTTGTTGAATTTCCCCAACCGAGGCTGTCGGGTTATCTGATTTTGGCTGCTCATGGGCGTGGAGCAGTTGTTGAATTTCCCCAACCGAGGCTGTCGGGTTACGAGATTTTGGCTGTCCATGGGCGTAGAGCAGTTGTTGGATTTCCACAACCGTCGCTCGATCTGACGGCGAGGGACATAACAGACGTTCAACACATTGTCTGTGCAAGTCTGGAATCAACACCTTGTCTTCGAGCTTTTGTAGAAAGTCCGTGCCCGACTTAGGTTCTTTACGGAACAGCAAGGCCCAGAGACAGAGTCCAAGAGAGTAGCTCTCAAGCTTAAAAACGTCATCAACTGGCTCGCCTTCTTCGTATTCAGGTGCCCAGTAGTGCAGAGTGCCTCCCCAACGCTTGGAACTGGTCGAGTTTTTGGGAAGAATCTGAGCCTGCCCGAAGTCACCCAGTACAGCGTTTCCGCAGTGGCTGATGAATACATTTCTCAGCTTCAAGTCGCCGTGCACGAGGCAATGTTGGTGGAGAAAAGACACAGCGTCTGTTAACTGTGTGAAATAGCGGCTAGCCTCATCGGTCGAGATATCACATAGAGCATGGGACAGATCGGAGCGGTGCAACTCCATCAAAATGGCGACTTCATCGGGACATTTAACCGCTCTCTCCATTTTTATAATGTTGGGATGACGAACGTTTTGAAGAATTTGGACTTCTGCCTCAAACTCTAGCAAAT